GCCTCTTAGAAGGAGATGCCCTTGAGTTCATGCTCTGTTTTCCCATAGTGCTCACCTGTTTTTCTTGAATAGCAGATGGATCTCAATGACCACAATTTAGTTGAAATTGCCCATCTTTCTATCGAAAAATAAAAGTGGGGGATGGAGAGATGGCTCAGGGTTTAAGAGCATTTGCTGCTCTTGCAGAGTTTGATTCTCAGCCCCACATGTCGAACCATAATCATCTGTAACTCTGGTTCCAGGGAATCCAGAGTATTCTTCTGACCCCCTCAGGTACCAGGCACACACATGATGCACATACATACATACATACATACATACAAGTAAACAACGATACACATAAAATTTTTAAAAATTAAGTTCTTAAATTTGAAAAAGAATATTTGGGAAGCTGGACAGATGGTCCCACAGTTAACAATGCTTCCTGTATACCCCGGAGAATTAGAGCATGCTTCTCAATGCCCACATTAGAACCCAGATGAGTCCTGTACAACCTGAAACCCCCGATTTGAGCCAGATTAAGAAAGGAAGGTCACAGAAAATGTGATTCCAGGGTTCAGGGAGAGACCCTGACTCAAAATAGGCAGAGAGTGGTAGAAGAGGACACCTGATACCATTGCTAGCCTCCACGCATGTGTACAGGCATGTATATGCCACCACATGTACACATGAACACATACATACATACACACATATACCCCACACACACAAATAAGTAAACAAGAAAATAAAAAAAAATAGTCATTTGGTAGGGCGTGGCTCTAATGCAAGACTAGAAGTCTGTAGCATTAGCATAAAAAATAGATTACATGCCTGTACATGTAACAGATACCAGGAAGAGTTAAGCACACTACAGTCTGGGTTACTCAAGAGGCTAACACAGGAGGCTCACCTGAGCCCAATAGTTGGCAGCCAGTCAGACCACAGGCTCTGTGACAACAAAGCTAACAATGAAACAAACAAAAACCCCAAACAAAGCAAGAGTAACAAAAAGTTACCCCAAATTCAAGTATAAGTAAGGAAATAAATATTATATTCTTCTATTACCATTGTCTGTGGAAGAGAATAGTTGAGTGATGACCATATGATAGTGTTATCTAAAAGGCCAAAGCTATGCAATCATTGTGGTTATGAAGGACAGTTGAGAGGAATTGTTGAGGGTACTATTTTTATCATATGGAAACTGAAAGCATCCAGACAGAAATGAAAAGGTGACAGATGACAGAATATTTAAATGTAATCACTGACTGCATAGAAGCTTTGATCAGAGCTCTCGGTAGCAGGCTTGGAGTGTGCTGTAATATACTTTGCCATTGCCTGAGTATGCAGGCATGTGTGTGTATGCACACAAAATGCCCACATGGGTCTCTCTTCTATGATATTCAAATCCCACAAATTTGTCACTGAAAGAATCGCCCAAATGTCATGTCAGATTGTGAGCTGCCAGAACTGATAGTATATAGACAACCTTGTTCACAAGCTGAAGACAATTTGTTTAACAGAAAGTGAATGAACATGTTGTGTTCCCTTCACTGTGCTAGGAATGAAGAAATACAAGTGAAGTAGCTGATGGAAGCCTCACTTTGAGGTTATTTGTAATCTGGCCAACAAGATAAGATAGACATGGTAAATTACAGAGCGCTTAATCCAGTGCTAAAACGTGTAGGTGATTGAAATTATTACATTGACAGCATAAGTAGGAGGCTAATATGACCTAGAGCAGTCAGAAAAACTTCAAAGACAAAGGTGTACTGAGATCACAGGTGGCTGGGATGCCCAGTGAAGCGGCAAGGGCGGAACTTGTAGTTAGAGCAAGGAATTGACTAGGAAAACACGAGCCCAAGTCCTGGCCCGACTCCTCTCCCTTGTGGCTTCACCTCTCCAAGCTTCAGGTGCATCATCTTGTGTTTCATGCTCTGTATAAGCAACCCTTCTTACCAGCATGGTGGCTTCCATTTATAATCCCAGCACCCAGGAGACTGAGGCAAGAGGATAGCTAGAGGCGTAAGGTCAGCCTTGGCTATAAAGTGAGACTGCCTCAAAAAACAACTTCCCTCCCCCCCCCCAAAAAAAGGAGGCAGGGCTGTAGCTTAGTGGTAGAGCACTTGCCTAGTATGGGCAAAGCCCCAGGTTCAACCCCTAACACCACAGGAACAAGAGAAGTCCTTGCCCAGGGCTCCTGATTTGAATCTTGTGCCTATATGGAGACCTCGCTATCACTAAACACATTAGGCTGTTTTTAAGCCTTCCCCATATACCTGTTTAGTAAGGCGCAGCATCTTCACTGTTGGTGTTGGCCATGAGGTCAAGCACAGTGTAAGCATCACCTCATTCAATCCTCTCCGGAACCATATACTTGTCTCGGTTTTAAAGGTGAAACACCTTATGTTTAGGGAGGTGAGGTCACACGGCAAGGAGATGAAAGACAGGCCCTGTCTATAGCTCAGCAGCAGAGCACTTGTCCAGCATGGGTGAAGCCCTGAGCTCAGTCCCTAGCACTACAACAAGAGGAGGAGGACAACCCTGGATTTGTCTCTGGCACCACTAGATTTGGTGACAGATACCTGCAAACCCAGCCTAAAGAGACTAAACTAAAATCTGTAGGCAATGAAAGATCCAGACTGAAAGTGTGAAGCTTTCTAAGACGACAGCAGCATGTGTAGTAACCCTTTACTCAGGGGGGGAAGAGGACAAGGGAGAGAGAGGAGGGGGAGAAACTATTCTTGCCCCTCTCTGTCTTCATTCTGTCCCACTGCCATAACCTAGCCTCCTTCTCAGTCCTCTCCCAGGACATGAAAAGTTCAAGCAAGTTTGGTGCCCAGGGTATACACATAGCCATTATGACAGTGTGTGTTGAAGTCAGAAATCATTAGAGTGGGCATCATCCATCCATCCATCCATCCAACCATGCAGCAACCTATCTGCACGTTAGGCCTTGCCCTGTATTGTTAATGGCTGTGCAATGGTAAAGATGAGTAGCATAATCTTTGCCCCTAGGAAGCCAGACTCATAACCCAATCATTACAAACCATGTGTTAGGGTAAGAAAGGGCCCATCAGGTCACAGCCATCAGGAGTTGACACCAGCACTGACACTTTGAGTGGCCTTTGCTAGACTCATCAGAGTGGGAAAGGGCGGAGGCTGCTTTTTGCTCTCTGCCTGCTGCCCTGCCTTGGCACGCTCTCTTGCTGCTATGAGTGGCATCCGCCTTCCTGACCACACTTTTAGCATAATGTGCCCACACAGTGCTCCATTCTTGCCACGTTTCTATCTCATGTTTCCTGAGGGTGTCCTGTGTAACCCCCACACTCTGCCCACTGTTGCCCTAGTTTATTTTGGCTGTGTTCAGATATGCCAGTCAAGAGAGAATTCCCTTTGGCCTTCTCTCCTCCCCAAACGAGATCACATCCAGGGGTGCCCCCTTCCCTCACCTAGAGAGCATGTGTCAAGCTACTAAGAAGGAGCTTCGCCAAGACTGCTAGCTTAGACCTGTAATCTCAGCTACTTGTGAAGCAGGATGATCACAAGTTCAAGGCTTGCCTGGGCTACAGAGTTCAAGGTCAACTTGAGTAACTTAACAAGATTTAAAACAGAAGAAGTCTGACGGTAGCTCAGTGATAAAGAACTTGCCTAGCATGTACAAGACCCTGAGTTCAGTCCCAGGCACCACAAAACCTAATAAGGAAGGTTGGGCTTAGTGGTACATATCCATAAACTCAAGGCTAGCCTGGGCTATGTCTAAAGAAAGAAAACCTAAAGTAAAATCTATTTAAAAGTTAAATATCCAAACTTTACAGTTGTTTGTTTTTTTCGCTCAGTCATTTGGCCTCTTGGAGTCAGTCCTAAGGAATAAGAAGGGATTGATCTGCAAAGATATCCTTTACCATTATTTATTATAGGAAAAATACTGGAAGTCCACCACATTTCTAAGAATAAGCATGACTAGAAATATGATATAAAAAATACAGAAAATAACATGGGAAGATGTGTGGGATATGTAGAACATTGATTGCTTGATCTGTGAGTATGCTACTATGGGAGGACTTGGCACTGAGCATAAGCTTGGCAATGAAACCACAGCTTGAGTGACAGACCTGTGTCTTGCTAGCTGTGTGACTTCAGGTCAAGGTAGCTCATCGTTCTTAGCCTCCATCATCAGAATGGAAATAATAATAGCCGATACTACCCAGAGCTCTCTTGAGAACAGTAAGGCAAGACAGGCAGCCCAGAGCCTTGCTGCTGGTTACCAGCAATTATTATTAGTCTTGAGCTAGAGAGGTCAGTACCGCTGGGCACCAGGGGACAGGCATCCTCAGAGTAATTGGTGGTGAGCTGGGATGAGGGTTCACCCAATTGAAAGAGCACAGAATGTGGTTGCAGCAGAAAAGGAGCAAAAAGAAGTTAGCTGCCCAAGGAAAGGGACACCCCTGGGAATAAAGACAATATTCTACCTCTTTCCAGGATTTTTTTTTTACCAGGTACACACTCACTTTTTCTAAGCTTGTATTGCATAGTTGTTCTCCTTTTCCTAGAGAGGTTTCTGACATAATATTGCCAAGAGTAAAAGGGAATCCAAGACGCAGAAACCTCTGCCTGACAATCCGATGGTCTCAGCAATAATCCTAATGACAGGATGAAACAGAATCCCAGGCTTTTGTTTGAAGATGGGGTACTTGAGGCTAGGACAGAAGTGAGGCTGAGTCAGGTCTCTGAGTCTTGCCAATAGAGAGGTGTGCCTGCTCCGCCCTGTTGGCATAAACAGCAGCTTTGACAACTTGTTAGACTCTCTCATCACTGCAGCAAAGTCTGCCAGGTCAGCCTAACCTAACCTTTGCAACAGTCATCCCATGAGCTCAGGACATGGGAAGAGAGATGGAGTGTCCCAAACAGCCCCTGTCTGGTCCTGCAGATTCCAAATGGATGTTTTCACTAGATCCAGGAAGCCCACTGGATGGTTTCAGGATCTACAGCATCCTGGTGGTTTCTCTGTCTTCCTGCAGTGATGAGGTGCCTGGGGATCCCCACCCGTGTGATCACCAACTTTGACTCCGGCCATGACACAGATGGGAACCTGATCATAGATGAGTATTACGACAACACAGGCAGGATTTTGGAGAATATGAAGAAGGACACTGTCTGGTGAGAGACAGCCAATCAGTCTATTTCTTGAACCACAGATCTGAGCCAAAACCACAAACAGGAAGTAGGGCAGGATTGTGCCCATAGCCTTTAACTCCACATCCTCCTGCTTCCTATCCTGGGGCAGAGAGACAGAAGAACAGAAAACAGACATGGGTTTAGAATCCTCACAACATCAAAGCTATTGTACTGGGGTTGAAGTACCACTTTGTTACCTTCTTCTTCTAATAGCCTAAGGGTCTGTCCACAGAGGGCTGACATCTCACTTTTGGACATGGCAAAGACTAGGGCTGCCTGTGTGGGACACACACACACATGGACACATGGACACAGACACAGACACACAGAGAGACAGACGGACAGACAGACGGACAGACAGAGACAGAGGAAAGGAGCCATGAGGCCCCCTTTGAGAGAGCCTGAAGGAATTTTAACTTGAGTAAACTGGAAGCCTTCACTCTGTCCACATAGTCTGCAGAGGGATTCTCTTTTCTGCAGACAGATAGAGGCTCACAGGAGGAAGACCTCTCACTCCTCCCAAAAGATGCTTAAGGCCTGTGAGTCTGTCTTTCTGTAGCCAGTTAACTTGCTTATCCTTGTTGGTCTAGAATGGAATCAAGCAGGATATCCCCTGTCTTAGGTGTGCTTAACATTGACTGCCCTGGCTTCTTTCTCAGGAATTATCATGTGTGGAATGAGTGCTGGATGGCACGCAAGGACCTCCCTCCTGGATATGGAGGTTGGCAGGTGCTGGATGCTACACCCCAGGAAACCAGCAATGGTGAGGCTCTCTAGAGAGAAATCAGGACCCACTCCCACAGACCAGCCCCTGTCTTGTCCACCACATACTAACCACCAGAGCTTTCCTCCCCATTTCTCTTTAGGTCTCTACTGCTGTGGCCCTGCTTCTGTCAAAGCCATCAAAGAGGGAGAAGTGGATCTAAACTATGACACATGCTTTGCGTTTTCCATGGTGAATGCTGACTGCGTGTCCTGGCTTGTCTATGGAGGGAAGGAGCAGAAACTTCACCGGGACACAGCTACTGTTGGGAATTTTATCAGTACTAAGAGCATCCAGAGTGATGAGCGGGATGATATCACAGAGAGCTACAAGTATGAAGAAGGTATAGCCGAGTAACTTTCCTGAGATCCCAAGTTCAGGGTACCATCCCCTGCCATAGCCCAGGGAGTCAGAGGGCATGTGGAGGGAGGTCTCTGGACCGAAGGACATGAAGTGATAGTGGGAAGGGGAAGTAAGGCAGTGAGGGTGTTCATATCTACTGGACAGTCATTTATAGACATCCTGACATCAGATATGAGTTCTCCCAGCTCCCCTCAAAATTCAGCCTTCAACTGAAGATGGCAGTCAACGTAGTAAACTCTCTTCTATTGGTTGATTTCATTTAGTTAATTGTATTTTGGTTGAGTGTTTAGGAGACAGGCCAGATCACCAGCCGGCACTCACACTTATTAAGGCCAGTGTTCACCCTCATACTCATCCATGGGGCCAGCAGGACCTGAGGGTGATGCTGAGGTAACAGTCCTGTCAGGTGCTTCTTATCCAAGCCAGCAAGGCCAAAGGAGAGACCATGTTATCCGGTGTAGATGAACTCCTGGAGCAGATGCCTGCTAGATTAACTTCTAGGAAGTCAAGCAAAGATATCTATCTAGTCCTGAGGACTAGAATCAGGGGTCTTCACTGCCAGGTCATTGATACAGCCCCTGTACATTTTGAAGCCAGGGTCAGCACAGCCATGTTGATATTGTATCCTATCTATCCTTCCAGGCTCCCTTCAAGAGAGACAGGTGTTTCTAAAGGCTCTACAGAAGCTAAAGTCTGTAAGGTCTCAAGGGTCCCACCAAGGAGACTTGAATCCCTTCAGCTCCATGCCACCAAGGAGCCTGGATACACCTTCCCTTCGACCCAGTGATGTTGTCCAGGTCTCTCTGAAGTTTGAGCTGCTTGACCCACCCAATATGGGCCAAGACATAAACTTTGTCCTGTTGGCTGTCAACTTGTCACCTCAGTTCAAGGATCTCAAACTCAATTTGAGTGCCCAGTCTCTGTTGCATGATGGCAGCCCCCTGGCCCCATTCTGGCAGGATGTAGCATTCATCACACTGTTCCCTCAAGAAGGTACATGCATAGTTCTCCTTAAGCCCTTCCCTCTTCCCTCCTCCTTTTCTACTTCTCTCTCCCTCCTTCCTTCCTCCTGCTGGACCCTGAGGAAAACAGCCCAGTTATTGGTAAAAACCTGTGCTTTGGAGTTATCTAGACTTTGGACCTAGGAATGATTCTGGAAACCTATGTTGCTTTTATTGTTTTGTTTGTTTGTATTTCGAGACAGGGTTTTTCTGTGTAGACCAGGTTGGCCTCAAACTCTCAGAGATCCACCTGACTCTGCCTCCCGAGTGCTAGGATTAAAGGTATGCACCACTACCCAGTTTGTATTGCCTTTCTTAACTGCAGTTTTCCCATCTGAAAGGTTAGTTTCTGCTTCATCAAAACATGGTGAACATTGGCTCCCTCTTTTCCATAGAAGGCCCAGCTGGCTTTCTCAGCCATTCTCACTTCTTCTTGTCTTCTCTCCCTAGAAAAGACCTACCCTTGCAAAATCCTCTACTCCCAGTACAGCCAGTATCTGTCAACAGACAAGCTAATCCGCATCAGTGCCCTGGGTGAAGAGAAGAACAGTTCTGAGAAAATCCTGGTGAACAAGATCATCACCCTGACTTTCCCAGGCATCGTGATTAATGTAGGCAAAAATGGACCCTTAAAAATGGTCTTGGGGCCCTGAGCTCTGAATGGGAGGCAGCCAGGCACATTCAGGAGGACATTCCTTCTTTGCTTATTCTAGTACCCCCAGAAGGGAGCAGCTTATTGAGAGGTCTTCATCTCCTGGTACTATTAGAGTGTGTGTGTGTGTGTGTGTGTGTGTGTGTGTGTGTGTGTGTGTGTGTGTGTGTTAGTTAGGGTTTCTGTTGCTGTGAAGAGACACCATGACCATGGCAGCACTTAAAAGGATAACACTTAATTGGGTGGCTTACAGTTCAGAGGTTCAGTCCATTATCATCATGATAGGACATGGTAGCATTCAGGCAGACATGGTGCTGGAGAGGTAGCTGAGAGTTCTATATCCTGTGAAGGCAACAGGAAGTGGTCTGTCTCACTGGGTGTGGCTTAAGTATATATGAGACCTCAAAGTCTGCCTCCACAGTGACACATTTCCTCCAACAAGGCCACACCTACTCCAACAAAGCCATACTTGCCACTCCCTATGAGCTTATGGGGGCCAATTACATTCAAACTATTACAGTGTGGACCCTTAAGCTCAGGCCACAGACTCGGTGGTCCTTCTTGAGATGCTTCCTGTGTTGGCCTTGCAGGGGCAAACATGAGGAACAGTCCAGATGACAGTGGCTAGTGGAGGGAAGTGTCCACCTCAAGACCAGATCAGGTTTGATTTGCCATTTTCTGAGCAAACACCCTGGGCCTCTGCTTCTTGAAGTGTTGAAAGAGGAGAATAGACGACAGGGCCTCTGAAGTTCTGTGGCCTTTCTGAGGAGGAAGTGTTTAAGGTTCTTTCTTTGCAGTGCTGTCTCCAGGGTCTAACCCATCTCCTGGATCCCCACCAAGTAAGGCCCTCTTGATAGCACTTCAAAGTCTTGAGTAGACTTAAACAGCGCCTTAGCAAAGGAGCAATACATTATGAGAGAAGTGAGAAGAGATGGGAATGGCCTTGAGTTTCTAGGTGTAGCAAATTATGAGAAGACAAATAGATAGGAACCCAAGGGAGGCAAGGGTCTGGGAGAAACTGTGTCATGTAGATTCCTCAGTGCCCTCTCCAGGCTGATGAGGGACTCTTCTAGAGTGCTTCTGTTGCTGTAATAAAATACTGGCCAAAACCAACCTGGGGAGGAAAGGGTATTTTGATCATTGAGGGCACTCAGGGAAGGAACTCACATAGAATCAGGAACCAAGAAGGGTTGCTGCTTGCTGGCTTGCCTCCCATGGCTTGCTCATCTTGCTTTCTTCATCACTAGAAGTCCAATGCGCTATCCATCATCTTGCTTTCTTATACAACCAGGAACACCTACCTAGGGGTGGTACCTCTCACAGTGAGCTAAGAACTCCCATATCAGCCAAGAAGATGCCACCACAGACTTGCCACTGGCCAATATGACAAAAGCAACTCCTCAATTCAGATAACTCAACTCCTCTTCCCAGATAACTCTAGCTTATATCAAGTTGACAAAACAAAACAAAACAAAACAAACAAACAACCAGCACAGGACCAGTGTCTCAGTGATGACCTTCCAGGTAAAAGGAAGGGAAAGGGAAACACCTTTGTAAATGTATGCCTTTAGGTTAAGTGGATGGAGACCAAAGAGTATTTCTTGGTCTGTTTCTTCTTATTGCTTCAACTCAAAGTAATCCTGAGGTCAAAGTGGCATATTTCAGGATGCTATATTCTGACACCCTACAAAACAAAACAGCATGGGGCACTAACATTCAGTGAACTAGGCATGATAATGAATCTCTTGCTTCTTTCCCGTCCTGGGTCTCTGTTTAGGTTCTAGGAGCAGCCTTTGTGAATCAGCCACTCACTGTCCAGGTGGTCTTTTCAAACCCACTCTCAGAGCCAGTTGAGGACTGTGTGCTGACCTTGGAAGGAAGTGGCCTCTTTAAGAAGCAGCAGAGAGTTCTGTAAGTGTGAGGAACACCCAGGCTTCCCTGCCATTGTATCCTGCCTTCAGCATTATCAGGCCCCTAGGCGGACTCAGGACATTGGAGAGCAGAGTGCAGGAAGCAAGGAGGAAAGGGTTTTCTGACATTCTCCATTCTCTGTTGCAGCATTGGAGTCCTCAAACCCCATCACAAAGCCAGCATCACTCTGAAGACTGTCCCTTTCAAGAGTGGCCAAAGGCAGATCCAAGCTAATCTGAGGAGCAATAAGTTTAAAGACATCAAGGGTTACAGGAATGTGTACGTTGACATTGGCTTATAAACAGGGCTGGAGAGGTGGCTCAGCAGTTGAGACCATGGGTTGCTTTTGTAAAGGACTTGGGTTAGATTTCCCAGCCCATTACCATCTGTAACCCTACTTCCAGGGGATCCAATCAACACGCATGTGGGGAAAAAGCATTCATACACATACGGTAAAAATAAATAAATCTAAAAATTTTTTAAAGAAAAATAAACTCTGAGATACGCTGGTCCTGAAGATTTTAAACTAAAGGCTTTACAGACTCTGACATCAGCAGGTGATGGAGATGCTGGAGATAGCTAGGTACTGGTCTGTTACAAACTTGCCAGGACCCTTCAGTACCCAGGGATTCTATGGCATCCACACAGAAGTGTGATTTGCCAGAGAGGTCAAGGGAAGACAGGCTTTAGCAGCTCACTGCTGCTTTGTTGTTGTGATGACTAAACAGTATCAATAAACTTCATTCCTTGCTCTCATCTCCTTCACCTCGAGTAATCATCACTTTCTCTTCAGAGCTCCCACTGCCCTTCAGTTGCTAGGAGCTTCCTGTTGTTTCAATGTCTGAGCCCATTCATTCATTCAAGAAATATTTATTGAGTGTCCAGTGTACAACAAATACCAGTCTGAGTGTAAGAAATGAGACAGGAAATAAAGCAAAGGCCCTGGCATTGTGGAGCCTACATTCCAGTGGGAACATGGAAGACAGACACCAAACATCTCAAAAGGGGCCTATCACAATCCAGGTCGAAGAGCAAAAATCCCCAAGGTGTCTTTATATGCTGTGTTCTGTCTCTGTTTCTTGGCAAAAAGAGTGAAAAAAAAAAAATCCCAGGATATCTGTTGCCCTGGCCCTCCCTTAAATATGCTCCCCCATGTGACATTGAAGCCATTCTTCCATTCACACAGTTTTAGCATCTCCACTCAATGCCACCAATGCATTTGTGTCCTCGGAAGCCTGCTGTTGGCTGGCAGTCAGGAAGTAAAAGCCAAATGAATAATACATTGTGGTAGATATTTGGTGGGGAATGAAACAGTCTCAGAGTTTTCTGCCTGTTGCAGTTTATGCTTACGGTCACTCAAACCCTGACCTGTCTGTGCTACTGAACACAAAACAGCTTTGTACTGCTTTCCCAGGAGATGGCCAAAGACAGGCTCCAATGCTCCTGCCCTCCAGGCACCAGCGACTGTGATGTCCTAGTAAATGTACAGACATTAGATAAAGAAGTTAACGACTTCCATTACACGCAAACAAAAGGGTCAATGTCGTTAATCAGAGGAAGAGAAGGGGTGTGGCGGGCATTACCTAGTAAGCTGACTGTCCTGTGGGAGAGTCATCTGAGAACATGGTGGCACAGCTGGAAGTAACCTACAATTATTTTGCCCTATAATTACTACATGACAACAACAAGAAACCATTTAAGGAAAACACCACGGAGAGGCACATCTTGCAGAGCCGGTGACCTCTGAAGTACTTAGGAGGTTTTAGTTGCCACATCCCCAAACTTGTTCATGGGTCCTGTTGTTAACACCACATTACTCAACTCACTCAACAAATGGTTCCTGAGTTTCTTCTAGGCACAAGGCCTTAAGGCAGACTGGCAGTGAGTATATAAGAAGGACCAGAGCCAGCACTCAAGGAGTTCAAGCAGAGGCATTTGGAGAATCTAAACTACATGACAGATTTTAAAAGACTTAATTACTTATGAATTAATTTTTACATTTCGTGTGTGTGTATGTGTGTGTGTGTGTGTGTGTGTGTGTGTGTGTGTGTGCAAGCATGCAGGTCATCAGGCTTAGCCGCAAGTGCCCTTACCTGCTGAGTCCTCTCACCTACCAAGGAGATTCTTAAGAAAGAATAGTGAGAACCTTTATTGAGGTAACCAGAGTGTTTTGGAGCACAAAGAGGGTGAATCAGTTCAGTTTGAACTGTGGATTAAGGAAAGCTTCCAGGAGGAAGTAACACTTATTAGGAACTAAAATACTAGTAAATGTGCAGACATTCAATAAAGAAGTTAACAACTTCCATTACACGTAAACAAAAGGGCCAATGTCATTAATCAGGGGGAGACAACGGGTGTGGTGGGCATTACCTAGTAATCTGACTCAGGATTGGAAAGCAATGAAGTTGAGTGAAACATCCAGAACTGCAAATTATTTGGGTGGTTAGAGGTCAGAGTAGGACGGAGCAAGTAGAAGCAAAAACATGAGGCAAGTGAGGTGATGAAGCTCTTTCTAAGGAATGGGGTCACTATTGTCAGCTTGTTCCTTCTCCGTCCTTGAGCCCAGTCCCTGCCTGCTGTGTCAGGGCTCAGAGCAGATGCTATTTTGCAGCACTGAGTGGACTCCATTGAACCAACAAGCACTACGGCTGAGTTCTCTACCCTGGTCAGCTGTAGTAGTTTGAGTCGCCACCAGAGTTGTCCATGCGAGTCAAGGACTTCTCTCACCACAAAGGCTGTTTTTTCATTGGTTCATTTAACGCTTATTGAGTATCTATGTGTCAAATGTTCTAGACCTGGGAATAAAGCACTGAGGAAAGCAAATGAGATCCTCCCCACACATCCCTAGCTGCTCAGTCCTCTATTCCCAAGGGAACTCAACACCATGTACTTCTTCCAACGCCCAGTGTAGCTTCAGGTGTGAAGGGATTGTGAGGAATTTCTTGTGCTGGGGTGTGTGACTCTGTGCTGGTGGCCCCCTCAGCTGAGATAGTCTGTGCTGGAGAGTGTGGCTGTGCTGGTAGCCCCCCTCAGCTGAGATAGTCTGTGCTGGAGTGTGTGGCTGTGCTGGTGGCTCCCTTAGCTGAGATACTCTGTGCTGGAGTGCATGGCTCTCTCTGTGTTGCTGGCCCCCCTCAGCTGAGATACTCTGTGCTGGAGTGTGTGGCTCTCTCTGTGTTGCTGGCCCCCCTCAGCTGAGATATTCTGCTTTCTCACAGCCCAAGTGGGCATGTGACTTATGCTGGACAAATCCAAGGGCTTTGGTACAGAACAAGTAAGGCAGAGAAGAAAGGAACCTACCCACAGTCCATGTTTCCCAAGAGGAGAGAGTGTGTGTCACTGCTCAATGCTGTCAGGGTCCCTCAGCCACCCCAGCTTCTGCCTTCTCCTGGTTCTCAGCCTGGTTGGCCTTTTACCTCACAGTCAAAGATATCCCTCAGTCTCTGTCATTTTTGGGCTAAGTTGACAGAGAATGGTTTCAGTTGCTTGCAATCTAAAGATTGGCTAGATGACTCCTTTGATTCACCCAGAAAAGTCTGACTCTAGATGCCGACTGCCATCCTGGCCAGTTCTCCTAGAGTTCATCCTTTGGTCCTAAAGATGCCCGTGCTAGTGCCATGAACCAATCTAAAGTTCAAGGAAGTAGTAGAGGCCCTCATTCTCCCACACCTCATGAATAGCTTAGAGAGTCTGGGACTGGCTATATGGGAATGGCAGGCAGTGGCGAGAGCTAGACCTCTCATGGCCTGGGCTCTGCTGCCCTCTGATCTCTGGTCTCATAAAGCCCATTGCCCTGCCTTTCTCTATCAATATCTTCCACTGACCAGCAGGCAAGCACCCACATGCAATATGTAACTCCTCCATTGTCCCTCTCGATAGTCTTGCCGGCAAGAACCACACAGGACATTCGGATCCTTCTGCAGTAAAGCTTTAATGCGTCTTGAGAGGAGAGCATAAGCTTACCAGAGCGGAGACCCCGAGCCAAGAATCCCGTCCCCTAATAAAGGCTCACAAACTCTGAGCGATGCGTGTACAGCTGGGATAGGTGCATGACTCGTCACCCTATATGATGCCATGGAATAGGCGGGGCTAGGCAGTGGAAAAACACTGAGCACATGGATACCAACGTTGTTTACTTGATCCAGCAGCGGATGTCAGCGCCATCTTGTAATGGCGAATGTGAGTGCGGCTCCTCACACTCCATACCTATTCCTGAAGCCTCACTCTCTAGTATCTGGGAAGCAGCTTTGCTGGCCTGGGACTCGCTGCTTTTCCCTATGCGCAGACAAAAAGAACTCGACTGCAGACTGTTGATATCAGAGAGCGAGAGTTCCTCTGCTTCCCCTAGGATGAGGCTTGGCTTTGACTGTATGAGAGCAGGCGCTCCTGAAGGGAGGCAGGCTATGAGCCTGGACTAGCATGGTGTCCAGGAACTATGAGAGCTGGGATCATGAGTGAAGCTGTGGGAATATGTGAAAGAGAGTTCTATATCAGCATTGGGCTCTGGATGATGCTAATTTCCTATAGAGATTATTCTCTCTGCCCGTTTAGATTCGGGTAAAGCATTGTAATTGAGACTGATTTAAAACTGGTTTCTAGACCTGAAGAGATGGCTTAGTGGTTATGAGCACTGGCTTCTCTTGCCGAGGATCTGAGTTCAGTTCCCAGGACCTACATGGCGACTCACAACTGCCTATAACTCCAGGGGGTCTGGCTCCCTCTTCTGACTTCCATGGGTACTGCACACACAGTGCACAGATTGTTCATGCAGGCAAAACACCCACACATAAAACAAATGAATTAAAATGAAATAAATCTTTAAAATAATAAAATAAAATGAGAGTCTATTTCCTATTTACTATGTGTTCTTCTGGAGTCCCTTTTGGGCTCCCAGCCAAAAACCTGAATTTTTCCTGGGACCCTTCATCCTTGGAGAGCCTGGAACTCTAATTTTATGAGGCTGCCAGAGATCTCCGATTCATACATTCTCATCTGTCAACTATGAGAATGTCTATGGAGTAGCAGTTGGGGCCAAGATCACTTCTGTACCCTGTCCTCCAAAAATCTTGACCCTGCCAACCCTTGATGCCATGCTGCCTTCAAACAGCATTGCTGGTTGCTCTCAACAGAACAAATTATAATAAGCTAATCTGCTTACTCCAGAAGCAGAAATCAGTAAGAAATTTTTCAAAAAAGAATTGAGAGAGGGTCTTCTCTGTAGTGGATTGGATGCAAGTTAATGTGTTCTGCAATGTGTGGGATTTGACCTCAGTTTGAATCTAGGTTTTACCATAAGCTCTGAGCTGCTGAGAAACCTCAATACTCAGACTGTGGACAGCATGTGAAGAGCCTGTGGACAGCATGTGAGGAGCCTGTGGACAGCATGTGTAGAGCCTGTGGACAGCATGGGAAGAGCCTGTGGACAGCATGGGAAGAGCCTGTGGATAGCATGTGGACAGCATGTGGACAGCATGGGAAGAGCCTGTGGATAGCATGTGGACAGCATGCAGACGGCAGGTTATGCTGTGCCTCATTTAGACTTGTCCATGTCTGTTTTGGGTCCACTTCTACTTCTTTATTGCTAGCATTACTCTGTGTGTTCTTCCGCCATGTTCTACTTCATTACTAGCCTTCTTAAATTCTGGAATGAAGTACCGTATTTATTAATTGACTGCTTCATGAATGCATTCATTCATAGTGTGTACTCCCTGCGCTAACAAAATTGAGATACTGGTCCCTTACTTGCCTTACAAGACTGAGGCTGAAATCACAGGAGATAATGTATGTGAAAGCGGTTTGTAGAGCAAGTACTGGTATAACCTAGGTGAGCCTGGGTGTCATGCTGGAAGGATTCTCTGCCCTTTCTATTCTCGTTGGCATGACTTGTCAATTTCTTTTTTTTTTTTCCTCAAATCTGTTCACATCTATACTCCCTGGCCAAGTCCTTGTTATCTTTCACCTGAACCATTACTAGACATCTCTTATTGGTCAGCTCTCTTCCCTTCTTAGCCCTCTAAGCCATTTTCTTTATTTTAGACAGTGTATGGTATTTTTAAAATGCAAGCCTGATGTGGTGATGCTTGCTTCAAATATGGTTCAGCATTCTCCCACTGCCCTAAGAATAGAACCCCAAATTCTCAACTGCATCCTAGACTTGGTATTCTTTTGCCTGTTCCCCGCATTAGTGATTCAGCATGTACTGGTCCATCTCTCACAACACTCCCGCTAGCCTGGGCCTATTTATCCTCCCAGCTCCTGACTGACATTCTAGGTCTAAGAGCTCAGCCGTTATCTTTTATAGCATCTATCTGAAAGGCAGTTGGACTGCCAAGCCATTTTAGGCACCCAGAAGTGTCTGTCGCCCCCTGCTAGAACACAGGCTTCTCAGAGACACAGAAACATGTATCTAATTTATTACTACTGTATGAGCAGAACCTAATATAGTTTCTGGTGCATAAGAGTGGTCAAAACACTTTTTTTCCGTGGCTGAATAAACAGATCCAGTGAGGGACTGGCTTTCTGCAGAGGGCTGGAGAGTGGAAAGGTGTGGGTGCTGCAGGAAGCAGGATGATTGATACTTGGGGGTCATCCTCCTTCCTCTTCTCATCCTCCACTTACCTGTCCCTGACTAAACCAAACCACAGTGGTGTCTCTCTTATCCCAGGCTCCTCCAAGGTCACCACGGAAACTGCCAGAGACTGGATATTGTGAAGGTCTCATGGGAACTCCACCAGGACAGAGGAGGACATCTTTGCTAGATGGTTTGAAATGAGGAAGAAACCCCTCAAAGTGGAGCAAGCCCACAACTCTGTCCATTGCCCACCCAAGAACAATGCCTCGGCGCACATGGTTCTTTAGTAAAACCTTCTTTCCCCTTGCAAGTTTTCCTTATTTTTAATATTAATATATAAGTACATACTCATGCTACAAGGGTACAAAAGGATGAAGAAAACCTTACTGCTGGGCACTGGACATCCTTGTCCAGATGCAGGAACTTTCCAGAAATGCTCTGGGTGAATACAAGCAAACTCACACATATCCTTCCCACATAAACCCTTCCCACAAAAGTAGTTCATACTGTTCATTGTTCTGTCTCACTTTTTAAAATTAATAATATTGCTTGAAAATTGTTCCATGTCTGTTTATAGACAGCAATTCCCTTCCATTCACCCTTGTATTCTACTAAATTTATGCATCAGCGCTTATCTAATGATATCTTATTTGTGGCTGTTTAGGTTATTTCCCATCAATTGCTATTTTGAGCATCAATGCATTGACTATACTTGTGTAAATTTCATTTTGTTCATTTAGAGAAGCTGAATCAAAAGAATTAACTCTAATGGGGCCAGAGAGATGTCTCAGAGGTTAAATGCACTTACTGCTCTTACAGAGGACCCTGGTTCAGTTCCCAGCACCCACATGGTAGTTCCAGGGCATCCAAGGCTCTTGCATGCATGTGACACATACATACACTCAGGAACACACACACAATCATTTTAAAAGAATACATTTTTATGTGTATGGGTATTTTGTCTCATGTGTCTGTGTGCTGTGTGTATGCCTAGTGCCTGCGGAGGCCAGTAAAGAGCATAGAATTCCCTGGGACTAGAATTATAGACAGTTGTAAGCCACCATGAGTGTTGGGAATTGAACCTGAGTCCTCTGGAAGGGTGTTCAGTGCTCTAAACAACAGAGCCATCTCTCCAGCCCCTACGGTATTGTTTGGATCCATTTGGAATGTATGTGGTCTAATAGGAAGTCAAGCTTATGGTAAGCTAATATCCCCAAATCACTTACTAACGAATCCTTTTTTCCTTCAATGACTCAAAGCACATTTAATGAGTACATTTCTAAGTTAAAGGATTATCATTTCTTTATAGCTAGGAACCCTGATCATGTGCCATTGCTTCTTTAGAAGTTTCCTTGTGAAACTTGGAATCAGTTTAGCTAGTTTCAAAAAAAAAAAAAAGTTATTTTGATGTTGTTGTTGGTACTGCATTAACCTTAATGCCTTGGAAGTCTAGCATCTTAATGATGCTTAGGCATCGTATCCAAACATGTGACCTACACATTGATCCATTCAAGTCTTCTTTTTATCCCTCAGTAGTTTCTCTTGCAGCCCTTACACATTCCTCAGTTTTATTTCTGAATATTTCATCTTTCATTGTTGTTATGTACTGTGAGTTAGGACTTTAATTACATTCCCAACTGCTTACTGACCACACGTATGGAAATTACTATCCTGGCTTCAATAATGCTGATGCCAGCCAAACCCTCGGCACTTTTTAATCATCATTTTTAGATTTGTGTTTTCTAGATAGAAATTAAATAATGACAAATTCGCTTCTTCAAGTCTTAGGGGTAGAGTCTTATTTGGGAGGTAGGAGGCTGCAGTTTCCTCTTCCTCTTTTATTTATTTATTTACTTAGCATCCTAATATTCTTCAAGCAGGTAACAGTTAAACGTTTTAAAAGTGCAAACAGCAGAAGCACCTTTGTGCCTCACCCTGGCTTCCCTGTCCACAGGAACCAGTGTTTATGTGGTCTGTACTGTGTCCTTCCAGGGGGATCTTACACACCAGCCCCTGGACACACACTGGGAAGCCTGGGCAAAGAAACACAAAGTCCAGAGGACAGACAGGCCATCCTCTCCTGTGTCTTTATCTTTAATGACTAAACAAGGAGGAAATAGAAAGGCTAGAGCTGAGGCCCAAACAATTCTAAACCTTCTCTGTTTGGCTACGCCCGACCAGGTCATCTTGGAAGAGCCAGGGCCCTGGCTTCTGCGTTTTCTTTTTCAACACACTCTATGTCCTTATCTCTTTCAAACAGATGGCTTACAGGCATACATGTGGTAAGTGACCCCAGAATTTACTTAGGGCCAGAGATTCAGAGTTGGATGCAGACCCACTGTTGGCTGCATCTATAGTTGCCCAGGTAACATCTGGGGTGTGTTGTGGGGGGGGTCTTGAGGTCATTGAAGTTTGATTTTTTTCCAGCCAGCCGTCTTCTCCTGAAGTTCTCACTCCAGCTGCCAGACAGAACCCTGCCTAAGCCTTCTGGCTAAGAGAGATCGTGCAGAAAAGGGGGTTACTCCCAGCAGCTGGCCTGGGAGATAGCAGCAGCAAGGAGGGAGTAGAAGACAAGGAACCTGTCAGGAGGCTCGCAGAGAAGCCAGAGAATTTTGCTTTTTACAAACCTTTAAACCAACAGAAGTCTTCCATCCTTTCAGTGTGGAAGAGATTTGGAGAGAGAGCCAGAGGCAACAGTTGAAGGCAAACATTTCCTGTGTTCAAGTGGATCTGAGTAGCCTGCAGCCATGGGACAAGGTAAGCTAAGCCAGTTACTGTTAGGGCTGTCATCATGACATGTTTTTATTAAAGGAGACAGAGTTGGTGATGGAGGTGACAGTAGTGTGTGAGGTGAGGGATGGGGAGGGAGGTATATGGAGGGGGAGGAGGCGGTGGTGGTGTGAATATAGGGTAGGAGGTTGTGTGGTCATTTTAATTGCAATGATGAGAGTGGAGTGGTGATGGATTTATATTCATAGCCCAAGATCAACATAATGCAAATGGTTACAACTCTCCAGGCTGTGGTACAAATGAGGTACACCTGGTGTGCCGGCTGGTTTTCATGTCAGCTCCACATGGGCTAGAGTTATTTTGAAAGAGAGAACTTCAATTGAGGAAATATCCCCCCACAAGATTGGCTGGCGGGCAAACATGTGGCTCATTTTTTTTAATTGAGGATTGATATGGGAGGCCCCAGCGCACTGTGGACTGTGCTATCCCTAGGCAGGTGGTCCTGTATGCTATAAGAAGGTAGGCTGAGCGAGCCAGTAAACAGCAGTCTCTCACTGCTTCTGTATATACAGTTCCTGCCTCCAAGTTCCTGCCCTGGCTTCCTAGGTGATGGACTACACTTTGTGAGATGAAGTCATCTTTTCTTCCTCATCTCAGCATTAGAAAAGTAAATAAAGTTGCCTGGGAGATCTTGAGCTGTCTCATCCTTAAAGCCTAATAGGCGAGAAGGGATGGTAGGAGTCAGTGAACAGCACAATGGGCAGAGACAGTCATGAAGCAAAAAAAAAAACAAAAAACAAAAAACAACAACAACAAATGGAGGGGAGGTAGAAACTCTGGGAGCCTCTGCTCTGAGTGTCCCCATAGGTGAAGCCTGAGCCCCAGGCACATCTTAGAAACCCTTCCTAGGACTGAACCCACATTCTTGTCCTGCCATTGAGGGAGCACACATTAGCTAGGAAATCAATTGTGTTCTGCATACTGCTGGGCAGAGGATGCAGAAATAGGCTAGACAAAGTCCCTCAGCAAGCTCACAGCAGGGGTAGGAGGCAGAGAGCAATGGGCGGTACCTGTTAAATGGGGTGAGTGATTTAGGGGAACAGAGTACTGTGGAAGCTGTGGACCAAGCTCCACCTAGAGAAGTTGGTGAAGGCTTTAGAGGCCACGCCTTTATGTATTGGGGGGTAAGGGCACACCTTTCAGGTAAAAAGAAGCCAGGAAGCCTTCCAGACAGAACCAGAGTCCCCGGGGTTCTGAAGGGTAACTCTTGCAGGATTCTGTGGTTATTATGGAGCTCAGTGTACCTGGGCTCAAATCATGTGACAGCTTCCACCACCCAGTCCATTTCAACTATCCCACAGAGGAGGGGCTCAGTCACCAGAGAGCTCTTATCTCTACTCAGTCCTGTCTCCATGAGCTCCCCACCAAGTCTCAGACTGCTGCCTCTCTTAATGTGGCTAGAGACTAAATCTCAGAACACAGCCTGAGACACTCGGCTCCTGTCTTTTATATACCTCTAGAGGTATATAATTAGAGCTAGAATTAAAGGCATGAGCTCTAATTCTCTTTTAGACTGATTCAATCTTGTGTAGGCCAGGGTGGTCTTGAACTCACAGAGATCCATCTGCCTGTCTTCTGAATCCTAGGATTAAGAGTGTGTACCACCACTGCCTAGCTCTATGGCTGGCTAGTGTGGCTGCTGGGATTAAAGGTATGTATCACCATTGCCTGGCCTCTATAGCTTGTGGCTAGCTTTGCATCCTGAACAAGCAAGCTTTATTAAATCATAAATAATATATCACCACAGGGTCCCCTGGAAGTACAGTCAGTGGTCTTAACCATTGATCCATCTCTCCAGGTTTTGCAAGTGTTAAAAAAAATTCTTTGTTCCTAATTTTTCCTCTCTCTTTAAAATAAAGATTGAGAATCTGTCATAAAACACTGGGGCCACCTCCTTTCAAGTGCCATGAGACGGTGAGCCTCTAGATCAAAATGCACATTACTTCAGGTGAAATAGTTCTATTCTCAGCCTCACTCTTGTTGTCTTTAAGAGAATTTGACTCACTGATCTCCAAATCAGTTCTAATATTATCTGATTGTGTCCTAAGGGGGAAAAAAGCAAGAAGAAGAATGTGGGACTAGGAATGGAGAGTTGGTAGAGTGCTGGCCTAGTAGGCACAAGCTTCATGTTCAATCCCAGCACTGCATAAAACACACACCTGTAATCCAGCACTTGGAAGGTGGATGCAGGAGGATCAGAGGTTCAAGGTCAACCTCAACTACACAGTGACTTAGAGACCAGCCTGGGGTACACCAGGCCCTGTCTTACAAAAAGAAGGGGTATGAGGAGTGTGCAAGATTCTGGATCTTATTCATTGTTTGGATTTGGAACCAGAAACTAATGTTAACATTTAATGGGCTTTAATAAGTGTTTGACATTTTGCTAATCAAAATGACTGCAAACATAGATATCTGTATGTATAACTTCATTCATCCCCTATAACTCTGTAAAGAGGGAGGATTGGCCTGAGAAGAAAACTGAAATTCACAAGAGTCGCTTGCTTGAGGTTGCACGGCTGACAAGGAAATTGAAACCCATTCTTGGAAGGTGCTTTTTATTCATGTAGTTGTGTTTACCTCACATCCATGACTTTCCTTTTTCCCACAACAGCTCTGGGTATCAAGAGATGTGACTTAAAAGCAGCAGAAAACAACGAGGAGCACCACACCAATGCCATCAGCTCCCGGCATCTTGTTTTGAGGAGGGGACAGTCCTTCACTATCATCCTGAACTTCCGTGCCCCTGTCCACAAATTCCTCACTGCCCTGAAGAAAGTGGCTCTCATTGCACAAACTGGTATGTGGAGCAGGACTAGACCACCGTGGGGGCTTGGGGATCTGGAGGGATTCTCTCCCCAGCATCCTCTCAGAAGACCAAGGTGCAGATGGTCCACGCTGTAACTGGCCTTAAGCTGTCCTGCTCTGCAGAGGGGTTTTGTGATAATGAACATGATAAATGTGTGTACAGAATTCTGTTTATTACGATTCCGAAGAGCCCAGCAGCAGCAGCACTAAGAGCTGCTTTTTGGCTGCAAATTTGTAGGAAAGGCTGAGTGGGATCTAACTCTGGCTACTTACAGCATCTAGTCTGTGCTAATCATTGAAATCTATGTTATGTGACAGCTATTGCGTCAAGGACGTCACATGCAATATCTAATTTAGTCCCTTCACAGGCCCTCCATGTCCATGTCCATGATGGAACATACCCAGGCAAATATTGTCAAGTAGTCTTCCTCCCCTCATTATCATCAGTTCTTAAAACATACATCGTAGTGACTATTTATACAACGTTCATGTTATATAAGGATTCATAATATTTAAAGTATACAAGAAAATAAAAAGCTATGTTATTTTATAAAAAAAGAGAGACATAGACAACCTTAGATTTTGGTATTGCTGGAGGTCCTGGAACCAATACCCCTGGATTGGAGGGAAATTGTATCATTATTGCACCTATTTTGTAAGCTGTGACCCTTTCATAGATGTAGGTCTAGAAGCACCAAGAGCCTGTGTTCCCCACCAACCTCTACTGCTCCTCATTATAGGAGAACCTCTTGCCTTCTCCTCCAAAACTAATTGGCACCTCCTCCATCTTTGTAATATCTTGACTTATTTATTACTCTGAGATGTGACTTGGCATTCCAAATGACCAACTTATTACCGTGCAATTTCAGGAGAGCAGCCTTCCAAGGCCAACAAGACTCAAGTCATATTCCCGATTTCCTCTCGGGGTGACAAAAAAGGATGGAGTGCAGCAGTGGAAGAAAGAGATGCTCAGAACTGGACCATCTCCGTGACCACACCCGTAGATGCTGTTATTGGCCACTACTCACTCCTGCTTCAGGTTTCAGGCAGGAAACAATACCCCCTGGGCCAAGTCACACTGCTCTTTAATCCCTGGAATAGAGGTAAATTTGAACCTAAGCTAGACTGAGCTGCACAGGGATGAAGGGAAGCAGAACTAGGATACAGCTCCAACAGGGAGTACCTGCCTCAGGCCCTATGGGCAACATCAGCATCAAATTCCAGCAGGTGCCTTCCTAGGGGCCTATCTTGGTAACCCTGGGACTTCATATTGAAAGTATCACTTGTCTTATTGCCAAACTTGGGTGCCAGATCAGGCTATTTTGTATTCATTGAGATGAACTCCAAAGTCTGCCCTTTACAGAAATGAAGAGCTGGAGAGACACCTTAGCTATTAAGAGTGCTTGCTGCACAATCTTGAGGATGAAGGCTTGGATCCCAGATCATACATAATAAGTGCCTGTAAAGCCAGGTCCAAGAGACCCAATGTGCCCTTCCGGCCTCTGAATGCACAGATGTACACCAGAGCACCCGTGTGTATATAAACTCAGACACACATATGGGAGAGCCATTAGCTTTGCTCCTTTCTGAGAGATGGTTGAGAGAGGTTCAGATGGACCAGGTGTGGTAGCACACAGGAAGCAAAGACAGAACTGGGAGCCTAGGCAACTCTCCAGTGCTTAGTGTTTCTCACCAAGGCTGAGAGAGAAAATTTGGCAAGAAAAGCTGCTTCCAGCTTCCTAAATTGAACAATGTTTCTAAACGATACCTAGGAATGAGAAGGCTCAGTGAGTAAAAGCAATTGCTGAGCAAGTCTGATGATTTGAGTTCATATCTCCAGAATCCAAGGGAAAACCCAATGCTTATAGAAAGACCAGAGGCAGAGACAGGAGAATTTCCAGAAGCTTGTAGGTCAGTTAGCCTGCCTTATACAGTAGGAAAGAGACCCCGTGTCACACAAGGTGGATGACTAGGACTGATGCAGTCTTGTGACACCTGCTTCACCCTTGGAGAAGGGAATTGGGAGAGGCACTAGGAAGGTACTGTGGTCACCCTGAACCCAGAGGACCTTTCCCTACAGAATTCCAATGTTCCTTCCCACCCTACCCGCTATGTTCACTCTGCTTAAGCTGTGTTTAATTGCTGTGTTTACTTTGCTTTCTCCCATTACACCTCTTGTTGTTACAAATTGATCTTTTAGAAGAGACTTAACAGGCCACTGGGAAACTCCCTAGGATGTTCCTGATTTCTTTTGAGCCAGTAGGGCTCTCGTTTGCAAACTTCTGGAAACTACTAGGCTTTTTAAGGCTGGCTTGTTCCTGGCCACACCTTGACTGAGGTAGGGTATCTGGGCCAGGTCCTGACTAAGCAGAGAGAAGGACCCTCCTGAGTCTTCATGAGGCCCAGACACACAAGAAAATGCTGAAACCAAACCCAACCTGAGCTGGGAGGGCAGAAACCTAGGCATGGAGGACAGACCTGGCACCCTCAGGCCCTCATCCTCTCCTGCTTCTTGCCAGATGACGCTGTGTTTCTTCAGAATGAGGCTCAACGAACAGAATACTTACTGAACCAAAATGGCCTCATCTACCTGGGCACCTCGGACTGCATTCAGGAGGAGCCCTGGGACTTTGGTCAGGTAATAGGGACCTCTAGAGGATAAGAGGAACACTGCCGATATGTTCCATACCTTCAACACTCAGGCCAAACAAGGCCAGCTGGTTCAAAAGCCCTTCATCAAGAATCATTTCTTTAGCCCATTTCAGCCTTGTGGTGCCTCTGGTTCTTTTGGACCATATTACATCACTCTCCAAAGCTGCTAGTTATCTTCATAGATGCTGTGGAAATCCAGCTTCTGATAAATCCCCTTTATCCACAGAATAGAGACCCATGCATGCTCTGGCCTGACAACTGAGCAGCCAGGCTGCCACTTTCCTTCCCAGCAGCCACCCCATGTTCTAGCTGCAAGGGTATATAGGCTGAGGAATTCCTCTATTTCCTTTAGAATACTACTTCCCAGTCTTGCAACCTTCTAGAAGTTTCTCACAGTCCTTAAAGACAGAGGAGTTGTTCTACTATGCCATCTGCTGTCTCTCCTGGAGTCTGAGCTACATTGCTATGGTTACCTGAGGGGCCATATCCCCAGCAAGGGCTGCTCCAGAGTGGGAACTTCTATACCTGGCTCAATGCCTGTACAAACATCAGATATTCACTAAGTAGAAATTAATGAATTGAAATGACAGTACTGATAATAGCACATGCCTTAAATCCCAGTACTTGGGAAGCATAGGAAGCAGACTTCTGTGAATTTAAAGTCATCTTGGTCTACACAGTTAGACCCTATTTCAATAAAAATAAATAAATTAAATGGCCCAACACCAATCTCCATGAGTTCACACCCTATCAGGAAAGTAAGGCCATGGAACAAAAGACTGGTTGCTGGATACACGGCTGTGTGGTTCAGGGAGAAGAGGGAAGAGCCAGATCCAGAACATCCATGGTGGATGTAGAGGCAGATGAGAAAGACATAAAACCCAAGCTTGGGAGAGCAACAAGATAACAGACCTGTCCTATGAGATAGAGCCTGGCCCGGGAACCCTTTGTCTCATCCTGTATTGTCCTTACAGTTTGAGAGAGATGTCATGGACCTCAGCCTGAACTTACTGAGTGTGGACAAGCAAGTGGAAAAGTGGAGTCAGCCTGCACATGTGGCTTGTGTGGTGGGCACCCTGGTGAGCATGACGCTGGGGGACCAGAGGGGGAGGAGATGGGACAAGAGTACTTGGATGGAGGGGTCCCACCTTCATGGCTCTGGAAGCTCTCAGAGCACAAATAGTTCCCCTTTCCCAGAGTGTGAGAGACAGTCCTCAGAGAAGAACATCGTGGGAGAAAGAACAAGGCAAGGAAAAGAGAGATAGGTTCATCTAAGAGAAAAGCCAGGAAAGGGAGAAAACTGGCCTTGATTTCCCCAGAGTGCTCTTACTCTTAGCCCTGCCCTGGAGGTGTAGAGTCCTAGGAGGGGAGAAGTACCCTAGCCTTCTCAGTGCTTGTTGCTGTGGTGTTCCAAGGGTCTTTTATATTTTTAAATGTTCCTAAGAATATGTAGACCATAAAGGTGACTTGGTGTTTCTCATATGTCTTAGTTAGGGTTAATATTGCTGTCATGAAACATCATGACTGAAAGAGTTGGGAAGGAAAGGGTTTATTATAGCTTACATACCCTAAGTCACAGACCACTAAGGGGAGCTAAGGCAGAAACTCAAAGAGAGAAGGAACCTGGAGGCAGGAACTGATGCAGAGGCTGTGGAGGGGTTCTGTTTATTGACTTTCTCCTCATGGCCTGTGTGGTCTGCTTTCTTATAGAACCCAGGACCACCAGCCCAGGGATGGCCCTACCCACCATGGGCCCTCCCCATCAATCAATCACTAATTAAGAACATGCCCTCTAGGGTTGCCTACAGCCAAATCTTCTGGAGACATTTTCTCAGTTGGGGTTCCCTTCTCGAAGATGACTCTAGCTTACGTCAAGTTAACATAGAACTATCCAGTACACCATGTCCATAATGTCCTCTCAGAGAAGTAATACATTCTCCATTTCCTCTCATACCTCTCAGTCTCCCTCTAAAAGGCAGGATGTGGGTCAAGTCTATTCTGTAAGAAGGAAGGGGCTTGAGATAAGTGGCCTCCAGGACCCAGGGCGAACAGTATTGAAGAAATCTGGGCAGAGGAAGCAGAGGACCAGTAGACCCAGCTCTCAGGCTCCACCCTGTGGCTGGAGCTGGAAGATGATTTAGATGAAGAGTCCGGGGTCTGGAGTGTATAGGCTGCAGCCTGCTGCATGCTGGTTTGACAAGCTCCAGGAGCTGAGTCACATGCTTGGCAAGCTGCAATGAACACTCCTTCCTGTCCCCTGGAAGCCATCCAGCCATAGACTCCCACTGACAACCACATATCTACCCCAACAGCTGCATGCTCTCAAGAAGAAGAGTGTCCTACCAATTTCACAGACCCAGGCTGCCCAGGAAGGGACCTTACTGTACAAGCAACGGGGCAGTGTGCCCATACTGCGCCAGTGGCTCACTGGCCAAGGACGACCCATATATGAGACCCAGGCCTGGGTGTTCGCTGCTGTTGCTTGCACAGGTACAGGGCAGGCAACACGCAGGTCAGTCTTCTGGGGTGTAGTGTCTGGCCTGCATCTTGAGTTGTTCCTTGGCCTCCCATGTGGGAAGGACATCTCCTAAAGCAGGCACTGCCTCCTTTCCACAGCCTTCCCCCGCCTGATTTCCTCACCAGCTGTTCCTTCTCTTTTCCCTCAGCAAATCTGAGCTCATTTACAAACTCTGCTCCCAAACCTACTTTCTCCCCAAAACACCCCCACCTGTCCCCCACGGAGCAAGCCTCAGTGCTCCTAAATCTCCCCCTTGCTCTATACTCCTGTGCTTGTATAATTAGTGTACCATTTACCAGCCTTCATCTGTTCAGTTCAGACTCCTCCTCGTTCCATCATGTCACCTGACATTTAAGACAGGTCCTGTCCAGTCTTGGGCATTTCTGCCCTTTCTGACATTCTGTGCCTCTTCCATGCAGTGCTACGTTGCCTAGGCATCCCAGCACGCGTTGTTACCACATTTCCTTCAGCCCAGGGCACCAATGGGAGCCTGCTGGTGGATGAGTACTACAATGAGGAGGGACTACAGAATGGAGAAGGAAGGAGGGGCCGTATCTGGTGAGAAGCCTAAAGGAGAAAGTGTTCTAAACCAGAAAGGGCTCCAAAGTGGCAAGTTCCATGTGAACTCCCTTACTTTGAGAGCCCTGGGCTAAGAGCAGATCTTCGGGACTCTTATAGCAGGTGGTGGTGGTCAGTGATGGAGGGTATGCATCTCTCTAGAAGTGCCATTTCTCTTTTTATGAGGTACCCTCCTATCCCCGTGGCAACAACCCTCTAAAGCCACGTCTCTAGACTCTCTTCCACATGCCCCTTTTCCCCCACTTGAAGTTTTTTTTGCCTTGGCTACTTTTAGGATCTTCCAAACTTCTGTAGAATGCTGGATGAAGAGACCTGATTTGTCCCCGGGTTATGACGGATGGCAGATTCTGCACCCAAGAGATCTTAATGGAGTTGGAGGTAAAGCCTAAGGATCAACCAGGGCTGCAAGAGCTGAGGTCTTGAAAAGGATCTAGAGGCAGCATGTGGTCCAAAGAGGCTCTTTATCCTCTAAAACAGGAGAAGCAGAAGGCTCAAGGGGGTAAAGATGTCCACTGCCCCTTCACAGATTGCATGAACACTAGGCCCACTTCAAGCCATGAGCAGGGAATACCATCTCAGTGAAGGACAAAGGGTCTTAAGATGGCTATGGGTATTCTGGAGTAGGGTCTGGTGGGGAGGGACTTGTCTGTGTGTGGCTGAAAGGGGCCATGTAGTAAGCTCAAGCCTAGAAGAGGAAAACTTGGAGAAGCCAAAGAATGGTGCCTCCTTGCCCTGAAACAAAATGGTCAGAGAGCCTGGCACATAGAAAGCAATCAAGAAGGCGGCCTATTCATAGCCTATTCATATTAAGGCTGTGCACCAATTATGTCCCTCTGAGGTCCTTCCTGTCCAGTTTCTGGTACAGGTCAGGACCTAAAAGTATTTTCACTATGTAATTGTTTGTTTCATTTTTGATACTTTCTCAGAAAGTCTGTCTACTTCCTACCTCTGACTTTGATTCTGGAGAAGGAGCAATAGTGTCCGGAAAAGGGGTGACGCAATGAGCTCTAAACAGAGCAGAGGTCTAAGTGGTTCTTCTGCTCATCTGCTTTTCTCTCCCTCAGTCCTGGGACCCTGCAGTCTGGTCCCAGTCAGAGCAGTCAAGGAGGGGGAACTGCAGCTGGACCCAGCAGTATCAGACCTTTTTGCTTCAGTAAATGCGACAAGCATGGTCTGGAAGTGCTGTGAAGATGGGACATTGGAGCTGACCGACTCCAAGAAAAAGTATGTTGGCAATAGCATCAGCACCAAGGTCGTGGGCTGTGACCGCTGCGAAGACATCACCCAGAACTACAAGTATCCTGAAGGTGCTGACCAGCAAAGGGAACCGGCTTATTCATCTGAGATAGCAAATGAGGGGAAGGGAGTGAGCCAGACAGATGCAGAAAGAGCCCCGGTCTTTTCCCTATCAGATAAAAGTAGGTTTCTCAACCCTGGCTGACACGACTGCCAGTTTGGATCAGCCAGTTCTGCACTGCAGGAAGTTGAGGTGTTGAATGCACTACAGTGCTCCTGGCTTCTGTTCATGAGATGTCAGTCCCTAACCCCAGCCAGTCCTGATAATCAAAAATGTCTTCATACATTTCCAAATGTTCTCGGTGGGGGGTGCCAAAACTGTCCCTAGATGAGAACTGTTGGTATGAAACAAAACACTAAATGCCAAACTAAATACCAATCTCCATCCAATTTTACCCCTCTCTCCCTCCCTTCCAAGATCCCCAGCTATTTCTCTCTGTTAGCATTTTCGGCACTCCCTAGGGCTTTCCCCTGCACAGCACTGTCCTCGCCTGACTCGATGTTCTCTACTCGTTCCCACAACCTAGTTACTCTAGGGGCTTCCTTACTGCTTGCCTATAGGATGGCAACCCCCTGGTTCTGGTCTCTCCATCACAGTTCCCTTTCCTGTTTTGAGAATGAATGTTCTAAGACATGTATGTCCTTGTTATCTCCTCACTCAAGAATATTCTGTGGCCCCTTTGCCCTTCGAGTAAATTCAAGTCCCTTTACACACGAAGAGTCAATTTCTTAGCTGGGCGTTGGTGGCACACGCCTTTAATCCTAGCACTCGGGAGGCAGAGGCAGGCAGATCTCTGTGAGTTCGAGGCCAGCCTGGTCTCCAGAGCGAGTGCCAGGATAGAGTCAATTTCTTGCAAAAAAAAATATCTCCAGTAACTTGTCAAAAAACTTGTTTTCCTTATGCAAAGGCAAATCCAAAGCCTGAGACATTTACAAATCTGGGCAGGAGTAGTAAATAAATCTTAATTCTGCACTTTTACCAGAAGGATCTGTACCTGCTGGGTCAGAGGTCTGTTTTGTCTCTTCCATTCTGCAGGATCTCAAGAGAAAGAGGTACTGGAGAGAGTCCAGAAAGAAAGAAGGAAATACTGGAAAGACCTGTGTCCTCCGAGTCCTGAGCCTGTTGATCCTATGCACCTGTTCTTGGACACACCTACCTCCTTCCCCTTGAGGGGGAAAAGTCACATCTCAGTGACCCTGATTAATCCCACAGACCAGGAGAAGGAGGTGCATCTAGTGATTGGGGTCCAGGCTGTGTACTACAATGGAATCGTTGCTACTGATCTCTGGAGGCAGAAGCAGCACTTCAGACTTAGGACCAACCAAGGTAACTCTCTGGGGCTCCAGCAGACATCCTGTGCACTTGGTTCTGTTAGGTTCCACCCACAGGTATCTAGAGATGGCTTTTAGCCCCCTGGTGCTCACACTCACTCTCATTCACTCATTCAAAACATATACATTTGGCCTGACACAGGTGAGAGGACCACAATTCCAACTGCAATCAAGTAAGTAAACCAACCCATCCTGGCAGGGAGAAAGCATTTGAGGAGGCCAACAGAGCTCAGGCCAGGAAAGCGATCACCCAGGCTGGGGCAGTCTGCACCCAAATGATCCACAGCCGGCTAATTTGAAGAATGAAGGAGGACAAGATGGACAGAAAAGTGCACCAGGCATTCCAGTCAGAGGGAAGATGTACAAGGGTCCCTTCTCTTCCTTAGATACTTGTTTTAATTGGTCTGAGATGAGGTCAGGCTCAGGGTCTTGTCAGAAATGCTGTGTATTTTAGGGTTAAGATTCCCTTAAGTCATTCTTAAACTTGGTCACACACTGGAGTCACCTGGGGAAGCTCTATGCCTGGGCTATCCCCCAGGCAATTAGGAAAAAACAACAACACAACAATTCCATAGTATACACAATCAGGATTTACAAAACTCCTGAGGAAATCTCACTGCACAGACAAGCTTCAGGAGCAAGGATAGAGTTCATCTACACACTGTGGCAGCCTTCTGCCTGTCCTGGGTCTCCATTCTTTCCATTACTGTGCCTCACCCAAGCGTAGCATGAGTTAGCATGAGAGCTAGACATGACTCAGCTTATGAACAGTCTTGTACATCATGCTTAGGAGCCTGAGTTTTGTTGTTAGGAAATGATGAGCTAGTAAAAAGTTTTCATTAGTGGTGTCAATATGATCAGAAATCCATTTTAAAAAGAGAGACCTTTTGGCAAAATGGAATGGAGGGGGTCACTGCTGAGCCAAGGTTCTTAACCTTGGCTGCACACTGAAGCACCTGGGGGATAATCCTAACACTAAGCCTTGTTGCCAGCATCTGAGCTAACTGACTTGGGGTGTGGCCTGGGGTTGGGACTTATTATAAAGGATTCTTACACAAAGCCAATATAGAGAAGTAGGTTAAAGCAGGGGGTGGTGGGGACTTACTAACAGTTGAAATCCAGAATCTAAAGCCAGGCTAACCTGTAGATATCTGCCTATGGTTTGGGTGAGTCACTAGAAGAGGGGAATGCAACTCTGGGGAAAAAGATGAATCTAGTTATAGCATATTAAAAGCCACGAGACATTCAAGTATCCAGACAGCCAGCGGGGAACTTAAACACAGAGTTCAAGATCTAGTCCACCCTGGAGAGCAGGCATAGAAATCCCAGTATGTAGAGAGTGGCCCCAAACTCAAGGCACAGAGGGGCTTACAGGGCTGGAGGACAGTATGTAAGGAGATGAGAGGGTAAGGACAGACCCACAGCCACACCAGCACTTAGGGATTTAGGGAACACCTTGGGGAAGAATAAAGAGTCTGAGGGGACAGGAACACTCAGCAAGGTTGGCAAAGAGGTCATGGGATGTCTAGGCTGAAGAGCATAAGCTGGGAAAGTGATCTGACTGAGAGAGAGGCAATGACAAAGGTTGGCTTCCAGGGGTTTAAACTAATTGAATTCAGGAAGTGACACAGGGCAGTTCTTCCTAAAGCATGATGGGGAAAAGAAGAGGCTAAGTGAGTTGAGAGGGCAAGGACAGTTGGTACTTAACCCAGGGACAGTTGGTAGAGAGAGGGTGCTGTGATTCTTTGGTTTGTTTTGAAGGTGAATCTGCTCATATACTGAGGTCAATAACCAGCATAAAAACTGAAACTTTGGGAGAGGTGGGCTATAAATGACAGCATAGTCTCTGGGCAAATAACCAATTGGAATAATTACAACTCACATTTACTGAGCACTTAGTATTTTCTGGAAATGATGATGAATGAATTATATGCCTCATCTCATTATTACCACAAACAAGGCGAGTATCGTTCTTAGTCAGCAGAGGAAACTGAGACACCGAGGTTGAATAATTTGCCTGAGATTACACGGTTTATCAATAGTGAGTGATAATGGGACACATATTTAAAAAGGATAGGACTCAATGTGGACAAGGGGATAGCACCCCCTGCACAGAGGTCACAGCGGGGAGTAATGTTTATGTTTGCAGGTTGAGAATGGGAACTAGAGCTTGAACCAGTCCCACTTGATAGTTAACATTTTCTATGAAAAGGGTAGGAGAACCAGAGAAGGGGCAGGAACTGTGTAAGCATGAATTCAGCAACCAGTATGTGGTGAGTTTTGAGATGAGCATGTCTTTCAAAGCATGTCACATAACACAAGTCATCCCACCATTTTTAGTCAAGAAGCCATGGCTTGGCCGGGCGGTGGTGGCACTCGGGAGGCAGAGGTAGGTGGATCTCTGTGAGTTTGACACCAGCCTGGTCTACAAGAGCTAGTTCCTCCAAAGCCACAGAGAAACTCTGTCTCAAAAAACAAAAAAACAAAAACAAAACAAGATGCTATGGCTTGTTCCAATTTGCAGGAGCTTTTCTACAGCCCGGTGAGGCAGTCTGCGAAGAGTGTTGGCAGAGACAGTCATGGGGTAGGGGGGTCTTGGAGTAGCTGTAGGGAATGCAGCATCTTTCTGACCTCTGGGAGACCCTAAGTCCTCTGTCATGGGCAGAGCTATGATTCGATTCTGGCATGCATGTAATCTATGCTTTGTACTGACTTGCCTGTTGTATGTTACAGTTCTGAAAATATCTACCAGCCTCTCCTCCTCCAATTTTGAGCAAGACCCACCTGAGAACAGCTTCCTCAGAGTCACAGCAATGGCAACACATTCCCACATCAGCCTCAGCTGCTTTGCTCAGGAAGACATAGCCATTGATAGACCGAATCTTATCATCAAGGTGGGCACTCCTTCATCTGCTACCAGGCAGGGCTGTTGGGTGGAAGAGTTTGGGGAAGGATTTAAGAGGTGTGGCCTTGTTAGAGAAGGTGTGTCACCAGGGGTGGGTCAGTCCTATTCTCACTCTGTTATTTTTTGACCCATTGTTTTTTAACCAGGACCATTTTGTGGCCATTTCAAACTATCCATTGGTGCCTGGTGGGCTCACCATTAAGTAGACAACTGAAATCAGTGACTGTCCCTTCTACAGAATCTCTCAGTAGCCAGTAGTTCAGCAGGGACACATAGGGTCTGATGAGCATTGTAGGTTTCATGATTGGCTGGTGGTGGGCCCAGTCTGTGCAAACTCAATGCAGATTAGCTGCTGCTGCTGCTGCTGCTGCTGTGACATTGTGTTTGACATTCTGTGTTGTGTCCTGAAGATAGCATTTCACAGCCAATTTCCTTATGGTCCAGCTCTTACATTCCTTCCATCCCCTCTTCTACAATGACCTTTGAACCTTAGAGCGAGTGGAAGGTTTGCCTTGTGCCCTTTATCGCAATACAATATTCATGAGATGGAACTGAAGACAGAGTTTCAGTTCTGCCTGGTCTTGCAGCCATTTAATCCCAAATAAACATACAGAGGCTTACATTAATTATAAACTGTTTGGCCAATTGCTTGAGCTTCTTATTGGCTAGCTCTCTCTTAATTATTAACCCATTTCTATTAAACTATCTATGTATTGCCACAAGGCTGTGGCTTACCCGTAATGCTCCGGCATGTTACTCCTTAGATACACAGCATCTCTTTGGCAAATCCTGTCTGCCTTCCTCTTCCCAGAATTCTCCTAGTCTGGTAGCCACACCTATATTTCCTGCCTAGCTACTGGCCAATCAGTATTTATTCATCAATCAATAAGAGAAACATATATTCACAGCATACAGAAGGACATCCCCCATTATGGAACAATATTTGTTACTCAGATAAGAAAATGGATTTCTAGAGAGCAACATACCCAATATCCTAAAGTACAGTTCTAAAATGCCATCACCTTCTTTTTACAAGTCTACCATGAGGTGGGTAAGATCTGGCCTTCGCCTTCAAGAAGCTCTAATTAGATAAACTAGACACAGCATTTGTCTTTTGTGTAAGTGTAGGAAGAAAAAGCAATTGATTTCAGCTGTTGGGTTTGGGCACGGTTTCATGAAGAAAATAACACTCATGCTAACCTTGCAAAATGGGTTCGCTATTAGTTCTATATTTGGAGAAGGCCACTAAAGACTAAAGACTGGCCAAAGAAGTATGAAGGAAAGGAGTCTGAGGGGTGTCATTCGGTCAAGGATGGATGAGGTTGGAGAGGTGGGTAGGGGGCACCTGGTACAGGAATCAGTCTAAGCTGAATTCCAAAGAGAGTGCAAATGTCCCCATGGCTCCTAAACAAAGAAAGGCACCACAGAATCCATGTGTGATGTGCCAATGGAGAGTGCACGTGCAGAAAGATTGGGGGAAGGCAAAGAAGCCCCCTGAGAAGTCTGGGTCAGGGTAGCAGAGATGAGAAGTGTTTGCGGGATGCACAGCAGAGGGAGGCATGCCTATGGCCTTTCCACATGCTGTGTCTTCCTACAGATGCCAGAGACAGCAGAACAGTACCAGCCTCTCACTGTCTCGGTCGGTGTGCAGAACTCCTTAGACTGCCCCATGCAGAACTGCATCATCTCCATCTTTGGAAGAGGACTCATTCATAGAGAGAAGAGATACAGGTAAGAGACTGTACACTGTCTGTCCCGCCAGCCAGCTCCCAAACAATGACACCAAGACTTCTTATTAATTATAAAAACTAATTAAACTTAGACTTGTCCCGCTAGCTTTTACAATTTAAATTAACCTATTATTAATCTATGTATTAACATGTGGCTTTTTACCGTTTTTTCATTCTGTATGTCCAGCTCCCTCCATGTCTCATTGGAGTCTCTTCTGCACCTCAATTATCTCCTCTGCTCCTTTCTCTGCCTGGAAGTCCCACCTATACCTCCTGGATAGCTACTGGCCATTCAGCTCCTTATTAAATGGCAATATATCCAATTATGGCAATATACCTTTGCACAGTGTACAAAGATCCCACAACAGTAAGCTTCTTATCCCACTGAAAGAGCTCAACTGGTTTGGACTCACTGACTTAAAAACAATAATCCATCATTTTTCCATATTTCTGAAGGTAGAGCAACTATCCCCAGAAGTTGAATTAAAGCTACCAAATGGCCTCATTCTAGAACCACCACGTCAATGGGAGGAGGGGATATTGGAGATTGGGAGGGCACCACACAACCCCCACCTCACCTGTCCTGATCATTCAGAGAGTAATACCCAGAGCCTGGGAATTACTGGTGAAGAAGGATGGCTCGATCTATTGCTAGAGAACACACAGATAGGACATACTGTTTCTCAGTGTAACAAAGAATGTACTCTACTAATCTCCACCACAACATACAATTTAATTTAATTCCTTTCATTTCTATTCCCTTCACTACCCTCTAAGTCCTTTTGTGTGTGGATCTTTAGCAACGTACAATGTCTACTGTTGCTTCATTAACTTACATTAACAATTATGTCTAATTGTTCTTTTCATCTACTTGTAAAGTCCATTTCTTCAGCTACACAATACTCCCTGTGTTTATCCGCCACTTCCTACTGCTCTATGACAGGCAACAAATACCTCTAACTCTCTTAGAGTTTTGTTGCTGTGAAGAGACACCATGACCACAGCAACTCTTATTAAAACAAACAAACAAACAAAACATTTAATTGGGGTGGCTTACAGTTTCAGAGATTCAGTCCATTATCATCAAGGCAGCATGCAGGTAGACATGATGCTGGAGAAGCAGCTGAGTGTTCCACATCTCACATAGGCAACAGGAAGTGACCTCAAAGCCCACCCCCACAGTGACACACTTCCTCCAAGGCCACACCTACTTCAGCAAGGCCACACTTACTTCCACGAGGCCACACCTCCCAATAGTGCCCCACTCTGAGCTTATGGGAACCAGTTATATTCAAACTACCACATTCCACTCCCTGGCCCCCATAACTTTCTAACAATATCATAATACAAAATGCATTTAGTCCAAAAGTCCCCGTGGTCTATCACAATCTCAACAATGTTTTTAAAGTCCATAGTTCAAAATCTCTTAACTATAATCCCCTGTAAAATCAAAATTAAAGAGTAGATCACATTCTTCCAACATATAATGTCACAGGATATTATATCACAATACAATTCGAAAACATAGGGAAGAGAACACAGTGAGGAAATGCTGGACCAAAGCTGTGCAAACTCCGAATTCTGCATCTCCATGTTTAATGTCAAAGCTCTCTTCATATCTCCAATTCTGTTCAACTTTGTTGACTGCACACACTTCTTTCTCTTTGTCTGATTCCACTCCCTGTTAGCAGCTCTCCTCGGCAGGTATTATAGCTCTGGCATCTCCAATATCTTGGAGTCTCCAAGGCAATCCAGACTTCAACCTCACACAATGGTGTCTGTAGGCCTCCATGCAAGGACACCCCTGTGATACTGGCCTCAGCAGCTTTCATTAGTTGTGGAGGGAGACTCCACAGCCCCTTGACTGTAAAGTCAGAACCAAGTGGCTGAAGCTGCCTAGTTCTGCTGCTTGCTGGGGCTGAAACACGCCCTCCCCTCCATTCAATTACATCTCCGCCAACTTTTCTGTTTTTAATGATTTCTTTCACTGCCTAGGCTTGGCTGTCCTGAATCTGGATCTGTAGACCAGGCTGGCCTCAAGCCTCTGCCTTCCCAGTGCTGGAATTAAAGGTGTGCACCACCACACCCTGCTTTCTTGCTTTCTTTCTTTTCTTTTCTCTTCTTTTGTTTTTTTTGTTTTTGGTTTTTGGTTTTTGGTTTTTGGTTTTTCAAGACAGGGTTTCTCTGCAGCTTTGGAGGCTGTCCTGGAACTAGGTCTTGTAGACCAGGCTGGTGTCAAACTCACAGAGATCCACCTGCCTCTGCCTTCCAAGTGCTGGCATTAAAGGAGTGTGCCACCACTGCCCGGCTTTTATTCTATTTCTTAATCTGTTTATTTCCATGAATTCAGAACTTGGCTCCATTCTACTTCCTGGTGCCTCTTTTCCCTTCAATCTGTACATTTTGTATTTTTACTTGCTTAGCTTGTTCCTTTTCATTATAAATCTTTATAAACATGAACACTAGTAACCACAGGAAAGAAAATATACTAGACTGTTTGGAGATTTCCTCTGCCAAGGAATTAATCCAAAACTCTTTACTTTAGACCCATGCAGACTCTTTGGACAAAGACAAAAAGTAACCAAATTCTTCACCAAAATATCATTAAGAACTATATCTAGACAACATACTAAAATTTTTTTCCTCTGAAACCTCTTGAGCCAGGCCCCCACTGTTCAAGTCTTCCATGCTCCTACTCATATGGTCCATTAAGGAGTGTTTAAAGCATTCCATTGCTTTCCTAACCCAAAGTACCAAAGTCCAAATTCCTCCAAACAAAAACATTGTCAGGCCCATCCCAGAAACAGCCCAGTCCCTGATACCACCTTCTGTCTTACTTAGGGTTTATATTGCTGTGAAGAGACACCATGACCATAGCAACTCTTATAAAGGAAAACATTTAATTGGGGTGACTTACAATTTCAGAGAATTAGACCATTATCATCATGAAACGACAAGGCAGCATGCAGGCAGACATGGTGCTGGAGAGGTAGCTGAGAGTTCTAAAGCTTGCTTAGACAACAAGAAGTGAACTAAGTGTCACACTGAATGAAGCTTGAGCAAAGGAGACCTCAAAGTCTGTCCCTACAGGGACATACTTCCTCCGACAAGGTCACACCTACTTCAACAAGGCCACACGACTTAATAGTGCCATACCCTATGAGCTTATGGAGGCCAGGTACATTCAAACCACCATACTATGTTTCATGCATGTCCACAAAGTTTCATACATGTCTCTTCCTCATACATGTCCTCTTCTAAGCTAAAATTCTGTGATTCCAGGGATCATATCTGTACAGGAATGGAATTTGTGGGTTATAGTATATGATCTGGTTTGGCCAGAGCCTATCAGAGCAGGATAGCTACAGGTGCCTATATTCCCTCCATCATTATGAGATAGTCTCTCTTACCGCCTGTCTGGAAATATCTATTTTCTTCTTTTCAGTAGAAAAAAAAAATGTCTAACAGACAGCCGTGTCTTCCTTTTCTTATTTGCCCTTCTTTGAGCTGGTTATCCTTTTTCATTTCCTCTTATATAGTTGTCTCTGTCTTGGCCTACTTTTATTCTGTAGTTCTTGCCATCATTCTTGCTGACTTTTAGGATAACTGTATTCTGGTCTCTCCAGGTCTTTTTAGATGTTACAAGCATCCACTTTCATTTTGCCTACTGCACTCCTAATTGCACACAGTTTAAAGGCAACACTGAGATTCCCAGCAGGTGTTCCAATTATTGAGCCACTGGTGCAGCATCATGAAATTCAGTCATTTTTGCCGTTAAAATGAGAGGAGTGTTCATCAATGTTTAACTAGACTTCATGATCTCCCAGACCAATTATGGAGCAAAGTTTCTCAAAAAAAAAAAAAGTCCCAAACATTCCCTTGGTTACTAGAGTAGCTCTGGAAGGTCAGACAGCAGCTTGCTGATACATTGGCACCCTCTCGCTATGCCTGTAGCACTCACCCACTGCATTCAGCAGGAAAAAATTTAAAACTACAGCCTTTGCCAAACATACTGCCGGTACTATTACCAAAACTGAACCAGGCTAAATCACAGATGCTGAAAGGAGCAACAGATGCAGATGAAAGGCACACTTCCATCTTGTGGTTGCTCTGTATAGAGAAGCTCCTGTCTTCCATCTCTTATGATCACTTCCGGCTTCCCAGCAATGTACTTAGATTTCCATATCCTCATGACCCATATCCTCAAGTCAGGAAGGACAACTCGTGGAGGCCAGCAGAGCAAAGACCCTGGGAAAGAATTAACACCCATCTCTACCTTTATTTCAGATTGGGTTCTGTGTGGCCAGGAAGCTGCCTGTGTACTCAGTTCCAGTTCACACCAACACATCTGGGGCTCCAAAGACTCACTGTGGAAGTAGATTGCGACGTGTTCCAGAACCTGACAGGCTACAGAAGTGTCCTTGTGGTAGCCCCTAAGTGTCTGTTTAAACCCCAAACAATCCTCGAACTTCCTTCTGAAGCCAGACATACTCTGGAGTGACACTCTGCCCATCAGGCAAATGAGTCTCCACTAAGGTTGAGCAGAATAGTGATCAAAGGCCAAGATAGACTCACAGAAACCAAAATCCATTTTTGTTATGTCAACCTAGTGCAGACAGAAACACTATTTGTCTTAGAATAAACTGCTGTGCATTAGTGACAAAACAAGGCTTTCAAAAGACACTCAACCCTTTCAAAGTACAATTAGATGTTTGATTACCTTTTTGGAGTACATTAAAATTTGGGAGGGTTCAGATGTTTCACGCCATTTTATTGCTCATTAATATGTCCATTAACTTACAGGAATTAGAGACAACTTAATGTTTAAATCACTCTATTTTTGATGACATAGGACAATATTGACTAAAAATAGAATTTTAGGTAATATTAAAATTGCCTAAAATACTATCCCTGGCCATTATTGTAAAAGATCCGAAGATAAATGAATAGAACTATTAAGACACATAGCATAGGACCACAAAGAATAATCTAAACTTAGCTATAGCGAGGTCTTTATGAGTACTATAATCATTGAGTATTCCACAGCTCCAGTCTGATGGAAATAATATGGATTTGGTCCTATAAAGAAATATGAAAATTAAGTACATAGAAAAATATACCCTATAAGCCTGGTGGTGGTGTGCACCAAAATACAGTTATGAAGTAGCAACAAAATAATTTTATGGTTGAAGGTCACCACAACGGGAGGAACTGTATCAAAGGGTCACAGCATCAGGAAGGTTGAGAACCACTGATCTAGAAGATCACATATTGGAAAGCAGGGTAAAGCTACTGTGAGGTATGGTGTGTAACCCAAATTAGGGTCCCCATGTATACCACAGGTCTCCACTACCTCTGAGTCCAATCTTCTTCCTTCTGTGCCTATACCACCCTGGTCGCCATTGTGTTTGTTTCAGGGGTAATCAGCAATGGCAGTTACTGAGTTTTTAGTCATTTAGTCATTTCAACAACACAAGGAATTGTGTTGTTTTTCATTCAATACAGTGACTGCACCTTAAGCAACTGCTGTCCGAACCGGCAATTGCAACTGGGAAGCTACTGGCAGCAGATAGGCCACAGGGGTTGCACCTAGGCAGAAATTCTGTTCCATCAGGCGCTGGTTATATCACTGCAGGCTGCTAAAGGAAACTTTACCTAGATCTCTATCCTTCTATAGAAACTCAGGATTCAAATATTGAGGTGAAATCCTCCTGGCTCAGAGAAGCTGAATAGGAAGTAGTGTTAGACCCCCGAAAACTCAAGTATCCGGGGTCTCAGGCCAGGTTCGCGGTCACCCCAATCACCAGGCGGATTCGAGAGCTTGCTGCAAACTGCACGAGGCTTTATTGTAATTTAACGAGCTAACCCCATGTTAGCTCGGGTCTTTCACCCACCCGCCATGGCGGATGGCTAGAAAAGCCGGCTCCTTGGGTCTCCCAAAAGATCTTATAGGGCAGCGTAAGGGGAGTGTCTAGGGGTACGCACAGGCTTACGATTGGTGTGCTTCCAGGCTTGGAGGGCTTGCCCTGTGTTGATTGGTCAACTGGTTGTTATGGCCCATAGGCCCTCCCAGGGTGGTTGCTATGCTCTTACGTCATTGTTGTGCGCTTGTCTGTAAAGCACACCCAGGGTCGTAAAGCATAGCGCCACCAGCTAACTTCTGATTGGTTCCTTGCCACGAGACAGGCATCTGACTTTCTAGTGACTAACTTTTGATGGGTTCCTTGTCACGAGACAGGCATCTGACCTCTACGTGACCAAGGTAGGTTTATGGCAAGCACGTGTTCGGCAGTTATGGCTGCCAAAAGGAAGCTGGTTCCTTCAGTAGCTAACTTTGTCTCCTTGCTCTGTCTCCCAAAAAAGGGGCTGTCCTTCTGCTCAGCCCCACTAAAGAACCCTCCCTACACTTAGTTCCTCCCTACCACTTCCTGTCAGCTCGTTGCTGACCCAACCTCTTGTCCCCAGGTTAATTTTATTTAATCAAATAAATGTAACACGTTTTTGCATCATTAACAAAAGCAGCAGAAGCCGGGTGGTGGTGGCACACGCCTTTAATGCCAACACACTGGAGGCAGAGGCAGGCGGATCTCTGTGAGTTCGAGACCAGCCTGGTCTACCAGAGCTAGTTCCAGGACAGCCTCTAAAGCTACAGAGAAACCCTGCCTCAAAAACCAAAAACAACAACAAAAAGGCAGCAGAAACAAATGTAACAAACACACCTTTACACAGTTAAAATAATATTCCACAACAGAATTGAGATTCTTGAAGACAAAGACAAAAGTTTGGTACCAGGCCAGGGGTTGGGGGTGGGGAGCGGAGGAGTGGTAGGGGGTGTTCTGTGACAGACCAGACCATGTTGTTTTGGAGAGGATTGTGGAAGGACTTTGGAACTTAGGGTTAGAGAAATCATAGAGTGTTGAGAGTTCAGGGACTTTTCTGACGTAACTTGGAAGATAAGAGTATTGAAAGCAATGAAGAGGATGGAGGCCTAGCTTGTGAAGTTTCAAAGGGACGTAAAGACTGCCAGGTCATTTGGTGAAGAATCTATGGTGTCTGGTCAGCTGGGGCTAAAGAATTGGCTGTAATTAACAAGAGACCAGAACCACTAAAGTGAAACCTTTGTTTTGCTGGGGCAGTGGATATTGGTCAGCTGGGGCTGAAGAGTTAGCTGTGATGAAGAGACCAGCAATCACAGAGGTGATGTCTTCAAGGAAGTGTTCACTCAGGGTCAGCACACAGAAGCTGTGTTCCAGGGGTGCTGGTAGCCGAATTTGGCAGTGTATGAGTCACCCAGAGGGTGCTCATTTTGAAGATGTGAAGAGCAGCTGAAGCTTGGCACTTCATGGCAGGGTTGGAGTCCCTGTAGAGAACCCAGATCATGAGTAAATTCCAGATATTGGACACTGAGTTACTTACACCATTGGAGTGTGGTGTTTTGCTTTGTTCAGATTGTGACTTTGCCCTGGTTCTTTCCTCTTAAAGTAAGAAAGTATTTAACTTATTTTTGATTTTACAAAAGCCCATAGTTTAGAGACTGAATTTTTAAAGAGGTTTTAGGTTTTAAAAGAGACTCTGGAGTTCTAAAGAGACTGAACTTTTAAAATGTTGGAATTGGTAATGACTGTAGGACATTTAAGTTTGTAAGATGTTTTATATTTGTTGTTTTCTTAGTCAGTGTTCTATTGCTGTAAAGAGACACCATGATCATGACAACTCTTACAAGAAAAGTATTTAATTGGGGCTGGCTCACAGGTTCAGAGGAGGGTTAGTCATTATCATCATGAAGGAAAAGCATGGATGGCGTGCAGGCAGACATGGTGCTGGAGAAGTAGCTGAGAGGTCTACATCTGGATCCACAGGCAGCAGGAAGAGACAGTGGCACTGGGCCTGGTTTGAGCATCTGAAACATCAAAGCCCACCCCTAATAACACACTTCCTCCAACAAGGCCATACCTCCTAATAGAAGACTCCCTATAAGCCTATGAGGGCCATTTTCATTCAAACCACCACAGTGGTATTTATTAATCTGAGATCTTGGGAATGAAACAAATAATGGAAAGGCTATGACTTGATCTTGATATGTTTGTATGTCAGGTTGATAAGAGGTCAATTGTGCTAGCTAGTTTCATGTCAACTTTACAAAAGCTAGAGTTATCTGAATGAAGGGAACCACAACTAAGAAAATACCCTCATAAGATTTGGCTATAGGTCATTCTAATTAGTGATTCATTGAGGGGGGTGCTCAGCCCATTGTGGGTGGTGCCATCCTTGAGCTCACTGTACTGGATTCTGTAAGAAAGCAGGTTGAGCAAGCCATGATGAACACACCAGAAAGCAGCATCCCTCCATGGCCTCTGCATCAGCTCTTGCCTCCAGGATCCTGTCCTGTGTGTTTCTGTGCTGACTTCCTTCACTGATGGACTACAGTGTGGAAGTGTAAGCCAAATAAGCCCTTTTCTTCCTAACCTTCTTTTGGTCATGGTGTTTCCTTACAGTAATAGAAACCTTAACTAATACCCCCTTTGAAGCTGTAAGCAAGCCCTCTTCTGTAAGTTCTCTTGGCCTTGTCTCTTCACAGCAGTAGAACAGTAACTAAGACAGAGCTCAATACCAAAATCTTTTGAGGCATAGAGTAACCTGAATAACATTCAGAAGGACTTAACGGTGCAAATAACAGCACCAAGAGGGACTTTGTAGTCATCTCTATGTATATAAAAATCAGTATTTTTGGGGCTGGAGAGATGGCTCAAAGGTTAAGAGCAATGACTGCTCTTCCAGGGGTCCTGAGTTCAATTCCCAACAACCACATGGTGGCTCACAACCATCCATTTTGAGATCTGGTGCCCTCTTCTGGTGTGCAAATATACATGGAAGCAGAATTGTTCCATGTTGTTGTATACATAATAAATAAAAATCTTAAAATAAAAATCAGTATTTTCATTTTACATGCACTTCTGAGCAGACTCAAACCTTTAGGGTCATAAACTTAAATAAAAACAACATTCTACTCTTAACAGATTGCATTTCTGGTAGAACAAAACTTCGGAATGGATCAGAAACTGCATCTGGGTGACCAGGAGTATTGGTAGAAGAAACCCAAGGTAGTAAAGAGCCACAGAGAGAGACCAGAGAAAGGACTACAAGAATGCAGAAACAAGCCTAGGATTTTTTTTTTCTGTGAAGCCTATTGATGAGTGAAGAGCTGAACCCCACCAGGAAAACACCCTCAGGGTCTCTGAACCCACAGGGTCCCACTGCTGGAAATCCAAATCAGAGGTTGAACTCAGACTGAAGGAAAAATTTAACTACAGCAAGCCAGACATATACTATGATTACAGGGGTGTGAAGCCAGATTTATTTCCACATCTCCCTTCGCTGCCATGGCCCAAAAGCTTGGAAGAGGCTCAACACATGCTGCCTGAACCTACCAGCAGAGAACAGCACCACAATCCATGACACAGCTCTAGGGAAGGGGTAAGGGACCCTAAATTTGAGAAAGCTACAACACTCATCATCCTCTGCCCCCTCCTATTATCACATAAAGCTAGGGACCCAT